TGTGAGAAACACCACCTCCGTCTTCGCAGTGGCCAGCATCAACCCATGATCGTTTAGCCATGCGTTGATGGAGGCCGCAACAAGCCTCACCAATCCTTGCGCTTCGCCTTCGTTCCGCGCAAGTATTAGTGCTGCCACGTCGTCAGCAAAACCCTCTAGCTTTACCTCCTGCGGTAGATCTAGGCGCAGAAGTGCATCATAAAGGATAACCCAGAGTTCTGGCCCGAGGACTGAACCCTGCGCTGCTCCTCCACTCAGCTCCTTCATGACCTGTCCTGCAGTAGTCTCATACATCAGGTAACGATCACTTAGGTAATCATTTATGATGCGAATGAGATACTCCGATAGACCTAATTTCCGAAGCGCCCTCATTATATCCGGCCATCTTGCCGAATTAAATGCATTTTTGACGTCGAACGTCATCATAATGCATACTGGACGGCACCGATGATGGCCCGTCCAGGCCTGTTGAGCAAATGAAAGCGCTTCCGAAATGGCACCAATTGTACTGCAGCCCGGCCGAAAGCCGTGTTGGTTTTCAGCTAGGCCACCAGCATCGGTCACTTCTTTCCGCAGTCGATTCCTAATAAGAGCTTCGAAAATCTTCCCTGCGACGTCTAACATGCACAGTGGTCTATAGGACGAAGGTGTATAGGGCGGACCCTTACCTTTATCTAACAGAACCAACCGTTGCAGTTTCCATCTCTTCGGAAAGACTCCAGTAGAGATGCAGGCGTTGTAAGTATCAAGGAGCAGTTGTTCATGCTTTTTTATAAGAACCTTATAGGCCTCGACGGGGATGCCGTCAGGACCCGGGGCCTTACCTACCTTGAGGGACTTAACAACTGCCCGCAGCTCCACTGCTGTGAAAAGTGGGCACTCGTCATCGGATATTACACTTTGAGTGCACACCCGTTCTTCGCGATCGGGAAACAGAGTTTGGACTATTTCCTCCATCCTATCGGGTTCCATAGGAGCTACTGAACCGCGACCAACAAATTTGCGCGTGACGATCCGGTAGCCATTTCCCCATAGATCATCATCCACTTCTCTGCAGATCGCCTTCCAGCACCTCCCTTTGCTCGCTTTGATCTCCGTGACGAGTCGCTTCTTCGCCGCTTTGTACTCGTCGTTCTTTTGCTGCCCAGTATCTCGCTTTCGCGACCTAAGTGCTTGCCTCCGAAGACGCAAACACTCAGCCCTGAGCAGCGCAATTTCCGCTGTCCACCAGTAAACCGGCTTCCTTCGAGAACCTGCGGAACGGCGAGGCATAGCAGCGTCGCACCCTGCAACGATCACTTCCATCGTTTGACCGACAAGTGACTCAAGATTTTCGCGCGACTCTGCAAGTAAGTCAGGAAGCGTGTCAATTCTATCTGAGACCGCATTTTGAAATGCGCTCTCATCCAGGAGTGACACCTTCCATCCTGTTTGCTTCATTTGTCGCTCCGGCACAGTAGTTGGGTTTCCCCTCACACTGTTGACCGTATACGAGATATATTGATGATCACTTGCCGTGTACTCCTCCAAAACAGCCCAGTCTGAGATTACTCCCGCTATCCGTTGAGTAGCAAACGTTAGGTCTAAAATCGACCAACGCGCGCCAGCTCTCCGGAAAGTAGGTGTATTTCCCCTATTCATAATGACAAAGTCGAAACCTGCCATCATGTCCAGGAGCTCATCACCCCGCGTGTCGCTATAACCCATTCCCCAATCGATGGACTTTGCGTTAAAGTCACCACCTATCACTATCTCTCCTTCAAGATGGCGGACAACTCGATCGAGATTGTCAACCTTCTTTCGGAAATCCGCAATAGGCTCGCTGGGGGTGAAATAACACGACACGAAGGTAACTGCTGGTGTCACGACCCACACAATGCCGTCCCTCGATCCACTGTTACGCACAGAAAGGCGACTTCGATCCGGAACCCAAACTGCCGCTGTGCCCGTAGGGTCACAGTACCAATTTGGCCCAGACACAGAATGGTATTGCTCTGATACCAAAACAATATCCATTCCGTTGTCACGATTTCTAGCGTACAGCAGATCAAGGGCCAGTTTGCACCGGTGTAGATTTATTTGTAGCACCTTAGCCATTTTTCTTTTGGAGTACCTCCCGATAAGTCGCACACCGTCCAGAACCCGCCACGTGATCAGAGGCTCGCCCGTTCCCCACCGCTGCACAGAGATGGCAACTCGGAGGCTTGGTACAGGCCTTCGACTGGTGATCCGCCTCACCACACCGCCAGCAGCAACCACTTCGGTCCTCCTTTGCCTTGCACGAGCCCGCTAAGTGACCCAGTCCTTGGCATCGATAGCACCGGTCCAGTCGCTCCCGGCGGCGGATTCGACAAACCGTCCAGCCGACTTTGACCTTTCCCAAGGTCTCCAAGGTCGCAGCAGCCCCAAGTTCAGCCTCGATGAAAGCGCGGACGGCTCCCCATTTATTGGGCTTCGTGATAGTCACGTTGAGTCCATCCGCGATCCCACCGGCAGCTTCCCCCAAGGCCGCCCGGACCTCTTCGACGGTCGTGGCGGCGTCCATCCCGTCTATTACTACCGTGGCAGTAGGGTAAAGATGGCGCACCTCCACGTCTCCTCCGGCTACCTCCGTGATCTTACTACCGAGTGCCGAGCGATCTTTTACAGATCCCTCGAACTCGATAAGAAGACCACCTTTACTGGCAGTCCTCACGGCCTTAACCTCTAAGCCCAATTCCTCTGGATGAAGTCCAGAGCGCAGAGCCCTCAGGACATCTCCACAAGATTGGGTCTTACCTGGTTTTATTAGCACTGCCTCCGGTCGCTGCTTCCTCCTCGGCCTCCGGTCTTCCTTGGCTGCTCTAGTCCGTCCTGCTGCTGGTCCTTGTTCCGTCGTCCCCGATCCTGGTCCTGCTGGCTTCGCGGTTGCTGCCTGGTCCACTGCTTCCTCCACCTGTTTCTTTTTCTTCTTTTTTCTCTTTTCCTTTCTGTCCACCAGATGGAACGGCTCCTCCTCCGGCGTCTTTTGGTTTCCAACATTTGGTTCCTGCTGTTTTGTAGGCTCTGAAGTCGTAGATCCTCCATCGGCTCCAGTGCGCTGCCTCTTTCCCCTGGCAGTGACAACTGTAAATCTGCCGTCAGACTGCAACATCAAGATGAGCTTATATCTTCATAAATGTCAGTAATTAAGAAATGACCTTGTATCTTGTAAACTATTGACATTTTTAAAGATATAAGCTCACCCCGACATTACACTCATCGAGACCTTTCATTTAAGTACCCACATCGATTTTTCATATATTTTATATATTTATATATATTATATATATGTAAATATGAAAAATATATCAAAATGCATGTGGGTACTTAAATGAAAGCTCTTGATGAGTGTAACATCGGGATGAGCTTACATTTTTAGAAACGTCAATATTTAAGAAAGTACAATGTAATTTAACAAAAGTCATTATTTAATGAAGCAAAATTTTATTTATTTATAGTTCTCAAGTTATGGCAGTCACATAGTGATTGCAAGGTTGCTATTTATTATAATTATTGTAACATTAATAAATTATAATTATTTCAGAAAAGAGGCTGTAGATATGCTGTGTGATTTAGCAGTCCGGAAATTATCACCAAACGGATCAAACGGATCAATGTCACAAAATCCAACGGCTACTAATAGTTCACCTAGACGATTGCGTCGTCCTGCATCAAGAACGTCAATGAATGATGAAAAAAATGATAATAACGATACACCAAGCAATAATAATTTAAATCAAAATAATTCACAATTAAATAATAGTAAAGCATTACGGCCGAATTATCTTAATTTATCAAATGGTGAATTAAAGTCTGAAATGAGCGATGATCAAAATATTGAAACAGTTAATTCGTTAACTATTAATGCTAATGATTGTGTGGAAACAGATGAGTATTATGATAACGACACGTTAATTGGTGATATGCAGGATAGTAATTTACCGCTTGAACCGGCATCAATGCCACCATTAGCATTCGATACTGATAATAACACCTCTGATGCTAATTTCAGTTATAAAAATCCTGCGTACCAAAGTGCTAATCCGACTTGTAGTGGCAATGATAATATTAAAGCCAAAGGTACATATTCTAGTGATAAAAACATTCCAGGTGTGTACTCAAAAATTTTTTTATTTCATTAATCGAGTCATGTGAGGCAAGTGTGCGCACTTAAGTATTCAAATTAGAGTCAAAATTTAATGATAAGCATAAAAGGAAAATAAAAATATGTCTCTGATAGAGTAAAAAAAATAAAGTCTATAACCTTAACACCGAAAAAAAACCGGATTAATCCAAATAATTAAAAATGCACACACTTACCCCTTGTAAGATAAATTTGCGCAACTAAGGGAACTAAGTGAATTTTCAATGCCCTGAGCAGACTAATTTTAATAATAATTACATAACTTAATTGAGACATAACATGACTTTAAAATTTTTGCTAAATAAAAAGCTCAAGTACATTATTTACAGTAAAAATAATTAATTTACTTTAGGTACTATCCTTAGTACAGTGTGAAAATCTTTGCCTTGACAGCAAATTTTACCTTCACGCCACTAGGTTCTTAATTTTATTTTTTAAGGTAGTTGTCGTGGTTAAGATATACCGTCAGAAAATTCTAAATTTTTGTATACGTATTAAGGACATGATGAAACAATTATCCTAAAAATTTGGAGTCGATTGACTACCTACAACCCGAGATGAATTCTCTTTATACCTTTAAAAATATCTATAGTTAAGAAATTACACTGTATCTCGTCACCTAATGATATTTTTATAGATATAAGCTCATTCTAATGTTACCCTCATCGAGACCTTTCATTTGAATACCCACATGAATTTTTTATATATTTTATATATTTCACAAATATCAGAAATATCATATATATAAAATATATAAAAAATTCATGTGAGTACTCAAATAAAAGGTCTCGATGAGGGTAACATCAGGATGAGCTTATATCTTTAAAAATATTAATAATTGAACAATTACGTTGTATCTTGTCACCTAATGATAATATTAAAGATTTAAGGTATTTTTGTCGTGGTTAAGGCATAGCGTCAGAAAATTCTAAATTTTTGTATAATTATCAAGGACATGATGAAACAATTACCCTAAAAATTTGAAGTCGATTGACCACCTATAACCCGAGATGAAATCAATTAAAAATTGGATACTTAACATTGATTGCATACGCTCTCTGCAGTTCTGTACCAGTTTCTTAGTTATAAAAAAAAAAAACTAACTGTCAGAAACTTTCAAAAAACTGACAGTCTTTTAATGTATTTGTTGTGAGTTTAAAAAAAAATTAAAAAAAATTTTTGACCGTCTAATTATTTATAAACAACGGATTAAAGTTCAACAATTTATAGAAATGTATTTATCTACGGAGTCAGATAGAAACAATTGTATGGGTTGCGTTTTCACGGGTACAATCTTGCGTAAAAATTATGGATTACTTAGCTACAAGCTTTTGCGGCGCGTATAATCTCTAATTTTTTTACAATATTGTACCATGACAACTTCCTTAAGTAAACGAATGATACCATATGGGTTTTTCTTGCATAAGCTAATTTTTAACCAACAAACTTTAATTTGCCTACTATCACAAACTTCTCCCTTGTAATTTATAAATAAAGGAGTTGCGCACACTTACCCTATATGATTATACTAAGTACAGTTTATTTATGCGTAATAAAAATTTTCTCAATGAAATAATTTGCAGTTTATTAAATTTCAATAATTAAAATTTAAAATTTTACATTTAATATTAAAAAAGTTTTAATACGCTCTATTATAAATATTAAAAAAATTTTAATAAAACTTTTCTTAAATTTTTTTTAAATAAAATTTTATCAGAGTAAAAAAGTTACTTTATTATTTGCAGTATTTTAAAATTATTTAATAATAAATTTTAATATTGCATCAAAAAGTTTTCATATAACTTGAAACTTGAATTAAACGCTTGAAAGAAGAAATGAAGAAATATAACTAAAAAAAAAAATTATTATTCATATATTCATAAATGTAAATTATTTTTAAATAAAAAATATATTACCATGATTAGACTACAATATACGATAAAATTATGCATTAAATATAAAATTAATAAAAAAAGTTTCTAATGATCTACTGTGTCAGCTAAATCGTTTAGTCGTCCGAGAGCTGGTTGAATTGTAAATTGAGCTTAGTGTCAAGTGATACTTTATCGCTGTATTAACGAATAAATTTAGTTCTGTCCGTTACAATTATATAAATAATTGTATGTGTATATATTACACGAATTATTTAGTATCACAAATGTTTATGGCATCGTGAAAGTGATAGACTTATCCTTATCAGTATTATATGGTAGGGGAAGGATTATAGAGGGGATAATATTGTATTAATAAAAATGGCGGATCTTTAATAGGTGGGTTGTTAGTTAAGTTATACTACATTTTATTTTTTTTATTTTTTAGGAAAAATTTCAACTGTTCAAGATCCCGCTGGCAGTAAAAGTTTGCTGAAGTGGAAGGGTGTTATGTTTGCACCGGACGACAGTAATGAGAACGGTGATAATACAACTAAAAATGACAATTTCAATGGTACTGTTACTAAGGAAGATAAATACAAAGACTGCGAGGTAATTGTTTATTGTTTATTAATTATTTTTGTAATTTTTTAATACTTAAAAAATGTTTTTTTATGTGAAATGTTTAATTTTGAAAATTAAAAAATTTTTTTCAATTTATTTCACGTTATAAAAGTTATTATTTTTTAGATATCTTTTTATTTTTATGAAAAATAATAAATGTTATGTAGAATTTTTAATTTTACTTTAAATTAACGATTACATAAGTGTTTAACTCGCAAAAGTCCTTGAATAAAATTAATGAATTGAACATTTTTAATTGCATTAATTTATTGCATGACTTTAATTTAAAATAAATTATTTTTATTGTAAAATTTAGTATTTAATTTTGTTCATTTTTTTTTATTTCAAAATTTTTTTACAAATGAGTATGTTAAATTTAATATAAAAATTTAAATAGTCACTTGTTTTACGCATTAAATATTTGCTGCTGAGAATTTTTGAATTTTTGCTGGTAGAATTAAAAAAAAAATTTTAATAAAAATTTAATGACACTGAAATTAACAGACAATTTTTTTAGTTTTTCTGGAAAATAAACTACGTTTAAAAAATTATTGTTAAAAAATTGCATTCATAATTTTCTAGATCTTAAAACCATGGAATTTTTTTAAATGAATTTTTTTGTTCTAATTTTTATTTATTGAAAAAAATTTTTTTAATTATTAGATGTCTCTCAATTCCAGTATTATATTATTTAATGAATGAAATGAAAAATTTTTTAATTTATAATATTTTTACATCCATATGAGTTATAAAAATTTGGTCAATATATAAATCTTTAATTGATCATTAAAAAAAAAAAATAATAAATATTTCTTAAGTTTTTTTTTTCTAAAACTACTTTTTGAAGATTTATAAAATTAAAAAAAAAAAATTGAACTTATAAATAAAAATAAATAAAAATTGACTTTAAAAAAAATCGAACCTGTAAATAAGAATTGAATTTTGAAATAAAAATTGAATTTAAAAAATAATTGAACTTTAAAATAAAAATTGAATTTTTCAATGAAAATTAAATTCTTCAATAAAAATTGAATTTTTTAATGAAAATTGAATTTTTTAATAAGAATTGAACTCTTAAATAAAAATTGATTTTTTTTTTTAATGAAAATTGAACTTTTAAATAAGAATTGATTTTTTTTTAATGAAAATTGAATTTTTAAATAAAAATCAAATTAAAAAAAAATTGATCTTATAAATAAAAATTGTATTAAAAAAACATTGAATTTTGAAATAAAAATTGAATTTAAAAAATAATTGAACTTTAAAATAAAAATTGAATTTTTCAATGAAAATTAAATTCTTCAATAAAAATTGAATTTTTTAATGAAAATTGAATTTTTTAATAAGAATTGAACTCTTAAATAAAAATTGATTTTTTTTTTTAATGAAAATTGAACTTTTAAATAAGAATTGATTTTTTTTTAATGAAAATTGAATTTTTAAATAAAAATCAAATTAAAAAAAAATTGATCTTATAAATAAAAATTGTATTAAAAAAACATTGAATTTTGAAATAAAAATTGAATTTTTTAATGAAAATTGAATTTTTTAATAAAAATTGATTTTTTTATGAAAATTGAATTTTGAAATAAAAATTGAAAAAATTGCTATTCATTTTTTAATATAAATAAAACAAATTTTTTTAAATAAATCCAATAAATCAACAAACGATTATAATAATAATTAAAATATTTCAGGTATTTATGGTTGAATTAACACGTGGTTGGAATAGTCGTTTAGGATTTAGTTTACAGTCACACGAAAACTCAACTATAATATCAATGGTACATCCTGATAGTGTAGCTGCTAAAGATGGGCGATTGCGGCAGGGTGATGTGTTACTCATGGTCAGTATTTTAAGTATAAAAAAAATTACAACTAAATATTTTTACAAAAAAAAAGAAAAAAAAATAATTAAAATCAAATAACTTTTAGGTAAACGATGAAAGCGTAGAACACATGCCAACATCTGACATAATTGATTTATTGCGAAAAATTCGTGGTTCTATCGGCATCACAGTTGCAAGGCAAAAAAAAAGTAACGACACGTGACGACAAAAAATAAATAATTAAATAAATAACACTAAACATTAAATCATCAATCAAATCATCGAGCTTAAAAATTAATTTATATGTACATTTATTTTATTTCTCTTCTCAATAAAATTGTTGATCAATCATGAGCTGTAAATTTAAGAGAATCTATATAGTATTTATCTTGAGAGTAAAAATATAATAATAAATTTAAAAAATTATAAAAAAGTTAATTATTAAATTGAATCAGTCAATGAATATATTTAATAAAAATATAAATATATTAATTTATATATTTTATTGATAGATTGTTTTAGAGAAAAAAAATTATAAAGTTCTTTAGTCTCTATATAGTTGGATTTTTACAAATTAATTGAATAATTGTTAAATAAATAAATAGAAAACAAAAGCATTAAATGTACTCGTGGATTAATACCATGTATGGTATTTAATTGAAACAAAATTAAATTCTAACAAATAATTATCAAAATTAATAGCAAAAAATTAAAAAAAAAAAAATTAGTCACTTATTTTTTATTAAATAAAAATTGCATATTAAATATTTTTAAATTATATAACAAAATAAATAATAAAATAGAATTTTCTTATTTACAACAAAATAAGATTATTTATCTTTGTTAGCTAAAGAATTTATTAGTATCTATTTAATTGATACTAAGTTTTATCGATAATGAATTTAAAGCAATATCCAACGGATATTATTATCATTATTATTGTTAAATAATTAAATGAAATGTTAAAAAATTTATCGATAAAATAAATAGTAAAAAATATTACTGAAAAATACTTAATAGTAAAAAAATAAATCAAATGATACCAAAGGTGTGTATTTAAGGCAGCTATAGAAGCGCAACTTAAAAAATTAAAATTAATAATTAATTAGCTAATTATTTTTATTATTAAAAAAAAAAAACTATTGTCTAAAAATAATCGATGCCTTCTCGATAATTAAATAAGAAAAAATCTAGAATCAAATAATATTTATTATTATCTAAGACGACTTATTGATCGAATGTGATTTTAAAAAACAATTAAATAATAAAATATCATTTGAAATTATTAATTTTTAAAAATTATATTGAGAACAATAAAGAACAAATATATTGATACAATAGTTTTAATCATCTCTTAAATTCATGATCTCTTATTTTGATATTCTCATCTATGAATGTAAATTTATTTCAAAATAAATAAAAAAATATATATTACAAAAAAAAAAAATAATTATTTCTTACTGCGCATATTCAGTGGAAGTGGTTCTATTGATTTTTCTAGTTTTTCAAGATTATTGCATTGTTTCAACAGTTCTGCAGCACTTCGTGGATTTTTTTTATCGCACTCGGCGTTGTAAATTGTACAGTAACGTTGATAACGAGCTTCCAAAACTTTTCTTACACCCTTGATGGGAAGACCTACTTCTTTTAGTTTTTTTTTTAGTTCACTATCTTTCATTAGATTTAATACCAGCTTCGGTAGTTGTGGGCGTTTTTTAGCACTGCTGTAATTGAATATTAATTGATTAGTGATAAATTATTATTAATGATATGAGTAAAAGATCGAATTTCTTTACAGTATCACATCAATAAAATTAAATTTGTTATTTCATCGTTAGAAAATTTTGGTATTAAAAAAAATATATATATGTGACTACCGTGACTTGCGAACTATAAATAAATAAAATTTTGATTTATTAAATAATGATTTTTTTAAATTGCATTGTACTTTCTTAACTATTGACGCTTTTGAAGATATAAGCTCATCTTGATGTTAGGCCCATCGAGACCTTTTATTTGAGTACCCACATAGCATTTTTTATATATTTTATATATATGGTATTTGTGAAATATATAAATATATAAAATATATGAAAAATTGATGTGGGTACTCAAATGAAAGGTCTCGATGAGTGTAATATCGGGATGATCTTATATCTTTAAAAATGTCAATATTTCACAAGATACAAGGTCATTTCTTAATTATTGACATTTTTTAAGATATAAGCTCATCTTGATGTTATACTCGTCGAGACTTTTCATTTGAGTACCCACATGGAATTTGATATATATTTTATATATATATGGTATTTGTGAAATATATAGATATATAAAAAATATGAAAAATTGATGAGGGTATTCAAATGAAAGGTCTCGATGAGTGTAATATCGGGATGATCTTATATCTTTAAAAATATCAATATTTCACAAGATACAATATCATTTCTTAATTATTGACATTTTTTAAGATATAAACTCATCTCGATGTTATGCTCATCGAGACCTTTTATTTGAATACCCACATAGCATTTTTTATATATTTCATATATATGGTATTTGTGAAATATATAAATATATAAAATATATGAAAAATTGATGTGGGTACTCAAATGAAAGGTCACGATGAGTGTAATGTTAGAGTGAGCTTATATCTTTAAAAATGTCGATAGTTCACAAGATGTATGGTCATTTCTTAATTATGTATCGAGAGATAGAGCAATTTCGAATCCAGCCTGAGTACTCATCATAATAAATTGGCTATCGGTGAGAATGATATGGAACCTTGAAAAGGCACAAATTCAAGTCAAGACCTTTGCAATGACTAAATTTCACTAAAAAAATCGATTTTATTATATGACTATCCTGGAGACAAAATTTTTCTTATTCTCTTAATAATAATAATAAAAATAAATTCCATACTAACGTTGTACAAATAATACTGGCTTCTCTTTTAGTACAAATATCAATATGTTTATCAATATTTTTTTCTGATATATTAACTTGACAAACAGGACATGATTTAAACTTATCTTCATTTTTAACTTCTAAAGAATTCGCATTATTTTCAAGATTATTATTTTTCACCAGTTTATTAGAATCTATAAACGTCTCACAATTATTGGATTGTCCATCATTTTTCTCATTTTTCTCATCAACACCTTTATTTACTGGATCAGTCGCTTCTATTGTTACGCAATTACTTGTACCTTGATTACTATTTTGTGACAAATATGTCTCGCTCTGATTTATTCCGCTTTCAATTGAGTTATTATTTAGTTTTACAAGACAATGTAATTTATTTCTTACTTTTGCAAAATTTATCAGAATTTCTTCTAAAATTCTGTTAGGATTCAGCTGATTTTCAAATAATTCTTGAAAACATAAAGGACATCGGGTTTTGTAATGCAGATACTTTCTTATACATAACGAACAATCTGAAATAACATAATTTTTTTTTATAATTAATTCAATTAAAAATTGATTACACATCTGATTATTTTTAGCGTTCACGAATAGAAGAAATTATAAGTATTTTCTGTATAAAAATTGAGAATAAAATAAAAAATAAACAAAATTTAATAGCAAAAAATCAGTAGACAATTTTTTGATTTTTTTTTTAAATAATCAATTAATTGAATTAAAAAAAAAATTTTTTTTTTTATTTTGTTTATTATTTAAATAAGAACTAAAAAAAAAATATTTTTAAAAAATTCCCCTTATAAATTTTTCAAATCTTTTGCATGTCCAATTTTTCTTTTTAATTTTTTGTATTAAATTTTTTTTTTAATAAAAAAAATTCCTCAAAATTATTAGATAAGTCTGCTAATTTTATTGCCATATAATTTAATTATTAAATTATAACTTACAATTATGAGAACAGGGTGTAATTACTGGAGTATCCATGTAGTCATAGCATATTTCACATTTCAACAATTTTTCAATAGTCTGAAATAAAATTTTACAATAATTGTATTAAAATAAATAATAAAAATTAATTTAGCAGATACTTGATAATTTATGAAAATTAAGTTAGTTTATATACATAGTATTTGTGAAATATATAAATATATAAAATATATGAAAAATTGATGTGGGTACTCAAATGAAAGGTATTGATAAGTGTAATGTCGGGGTGAGCTTAAATCTTTAAAAATGTCAATAATTGACAAGATAATTGTTAAAATGTCCTGTACTTGGTTTACTATTGACATTTGTAAAGATATAAGCTCATCCCGTTGTTACACTCATCGAGACCTTTCATTTGAGTACCCACATGGAATTTTTTATATATTCTATATATATGGTATTTGTGAAATATATAAATATATAAAATATATGAAAAATTGATGTGGGTACTCAAATGAAAGGTCACGATGAGTGTAATGTTAGAGTGAGCTTATATCTTTAAAAATGTCGATAGTTCACAAGATGTATGGTCATTTCTTAATTATGTATCGAGAGATAGAGCAATTTCGAATCCAGCCTGAGTACTCATCATAATAAATTGGCTATCGGTGAGAATGATATGGAACCTTGAAAAGGCACAAATTCAAGTCAAGACCTTTGCAATGACTAAATTTCACTAAAAAAATCGATTTTATTATATGACTATCCTGGAGACAAAATTTTTCTTATTCTCTTAATAATAATAATAAAAATAAATTCCATACTAACGTTGTACAAATAATACTGGCTTCTCTTTTAGTACAAATATCAATATGTTTATCAATATTTTTTTCTGATATATTAACTTGACAAACAGGACATGATTTAAACTTATCTTCATTTTTAACTTCTAAAGAATTCGCATTATTTTCAAGATTATTATTTTTCACCAGTTTATTAGAATCTATAAACGTCTCACAATTATTGGATTGTCCATCATTTTTCTCATTTTTCTCATCAACACCTTTATTTACTGGATCAGTCGCTTCTATTGTTACGCAATTACTTGTACCTTGATTACTATTTTGTGACAAATATGTCTCGCTCTGATTTATTCCGCTTTCAATTGAGTTATTATTTAGTTTTACAAGACAATGTAATTTATTTCTTACTTTTGCAAAATTTATCAGAATTTCTTCTAAAATTCTGTTAGGATTCAGCTGATTTTCAAATAATTCTTGAAAACATAAAGGACATCGGGTTTTGTAATGCAGATACTTTCTTATACATAACGAACAATCTGAAATAACATAATTTTTTTTTATAATTAATTCAATTAAAAATTGATTACACATCTGATTATTTTTAGCGTTCACGAATAGAAGAAATTATAAGTATTTTCTGTATAAAAATTGAGAATAAAATAAAAAATAAACAAAATTTAATAGCAAAAAATCAGTAGACAATTTTTTGATTTTTTTTTTAAATAATCAATTAATTGAATTAAAAAAAAAATTTTTTTTTTTATTTTGTTTATTATTTAAATAAGAACTAAAAAAAAAATATTTTTAAAAAATTCCCCTTATAAATTTTTCAAATCTTTTGCATGTCCAATTTTTCTTTTTAATTTTTTGTATTAAATTTTTTTTTTAATAAAAAAAATTCCTCAAAATTATTAGATAAGTCTGCTAATTTTATTGCCATATAATTTAATTATTAAATTATAACTTACAATTATGAGAACAGGGTGTAATTACTGGAGTATCCATGTAGTCATAGCATATTTCACATTTCAACAATTTTTCAATAGTCTGAAATAAAATTTTACAATAATTGTATTAAAATAAATAATAAAAATTAATTTAGCAGATACTTGATAATTTATGAAAATTAAGTTAGCCTACATCTAAAAATTTTTATAAATTTTTTTATTGAAAAAAATCATTACAAAAAAACAAAAAAAAATTTCATTTGTAAAAAATTTGAAAAACTGTGTGCAATTTTTAAAAAATATTTTTCTGTTATAATTTAATTATTAAAAAAAAATCAAAAAATTAAAAATGTCGGCTAACTTCATTATTATTGATAATTTTAATAATTTTTTTTAACAAAAAAATTTACGTAAAAATTTTAAAAAATTGAAAATACCATTTTTTTTTAATTATTTTTTGGTAACAAATTTTTTTGATTAAATAAATTAAAAAATTGATACTAAAATTAGCCGACATTTAATAATTTTTTTTAACAATTTAATTGCAAGTAAAAAAGATACTTAAAGCAAATTGCACGCATCATTTTTCAAATCTTCTACATGTGTGAAATTTTTTTGTAATAATTTTTTCAATAAAAAAAATTAATTTAGCATATATTTAATAATTTTATAACAAATAAATTATGGAAAAAAAAAAGTTATAAAAAAATTGACATGTAGAAATTTAAAAAAATTAAAAAATAGTCAAGTGACTGCTAACTTTAATGTCATAAAAATTTTTAGATGTCGGCTAATTTAATTTTCATGAAAAATTATTAAGTGACTGGTAACTTTTATGTCATAAATAAATGAATAAATATAAAAAAAAAAATTATTAAAATTTTTTACCTTCAATTCAGAAAACTCTGCTGGCCATGTAATTTCTGTATATTGTTCCATTTTTAAATTTTAATACATCATCCAATAAAAATTTTAGTTAATTAAAAATGCGTGCAATAAATAATATTAAATAATGAAAATTGCTCTTTGAATTTTCTAAAAAAAGCTTGTAAATTCTTTGTTTACATTTTGGATCGAATATATAATAGCTGAAAACACAAAGAGTTTGTGTTTATTATTACCGACAGAGGTCACGTGCTTCCATTAAACTTAGGTTTCCAAATTAACGCAAGATGGCGTTACTTACATCATTTTTCAGCTGAGTAGTAACGGTCGTCGGGCAAGAAGCGACACAAGATGTGCAGGCACTTGCTGGTCGCTGCCAGTGTTGCCAATGTCCGGGTAATTACCCATTTTTCGGGTAATTCGATGTTAAATGGGTAAATGACCAAGCAATGGGACTCAGACGGGTAAAGTCGGGTAATGGTTGTTTTATTAAAAGAAGATCCACGCGAAGTAGTCAAGTTTTTAAAATTTTCTGAAAATTTGTAAATTTCATCTACATAGCCTAATAATCAATAAAAAAGTTAAAAAACAGTAGGTTTCCGGGATATTTAATGAAATAATTAAGTTTGAAAATTGTAATTTTTACATGTAGTTAAATGGAGATTTCACCAGCCGTGTATTTGGTTAAGAATTTAATGCAATTAACGATTTTAAAAAATTTTTCTTTTCATTGAATTTGATAGAAAATTTAATAAGCTTTCGATTAAAATAATAAAAAAAGTAGGTTTCCGGACGTTTTACGAAGATATTTTATATTTTTTATGAAAAATCACAAGAAACTTCCGTTCTTTAAATTCTTGTATTTGACTTGACTTGACAACACCGCTTGCGCAGTTACCCGCCGCATAAGTAACCACGGTTTTTTAAATGCTAGAGAATCTTAGTCATTTTAGTTAGACAGTAAACATATTTTTTTTAATAAAGTAAGTTAAAAATACAAAGATACTTGGGGCCAGTTTTTCAATCCGGGATAAAATTTTATCCGAGATAAAAGTACTGTCAATATAATGAAAAAAAAAAAAAAAAAATAAATAAATAATTTAGCGACGTGATATTGCTCTCAGTTAGTTCTCCATGAATTTGGTCATTTATTTAAATAATAAATAAATATATCATAAAAATAATAACCTCTCATTGTGTGATTTAAATTATTTCAAATTAATTAACATAATTATAGATTAACAATAAATATGTCAAACGCAAGATATGAGCTCGAAGAGTTGGAGATTAATATTTCAATATTTCTGTGAACAGAACAGTTGGAGAATAATATTTCTGTGACATGTAGCTAATGTTTATTTATTTTAATTAAAAATAAGTGACTGATTCAGGGAGAACTACTTGTATGCAATATCACTGTGCTGAATTATTTATTTTTATTATTATATTAGCAGTACTTTTATCTCGGATAAAATTTTATCCCGGATTGAAAAACTGGCCCCAAGTATCTTTGTATTTTTAACTTACTTTATTAAAAAAAATATGTTTACTGTCTAACTAAAATGACTAAGATTTTCTAGCATTTAAAAAACCGCGGTTACTTATGCGCCGGGCAACTGCGCAAGCGGTGTTGTCAAGTCAAATACAAGAATTCAAAGAACGGAAGTTCCTTGTGATTTTTCATAAAAAATATAAAATATCTTCGTAAAACGTCCGGAAACCTACTTTTTTTATTATTTTAATCGAAAGCTTATTAAATTTTCTATCAAATTCAATGAAAAGAAAAATTTTTTAAAATCGTTAATTGCATTAAATTCTTAACCAAATACACGGCTGATGAAATCTCCATTTAACTACATGTAAAAATTACAATTTTCAAACTTAATTATTTCATTAAATATCCCAGAAACCTACTGTTTTTTAATTTTTTTATTGATTATTAGGCTATGTAGATGAAATTTACAAATTTTCAGAAAATTTTAAAAACTTGACTACTTCGCGTGGATCTCCTTTTAATAAAACAACCATTACCCGACTTTACCCGTCTGAGTCCCATTGCTTGGTCATTTACCCATTTAACATCGAATTACCCGAAAAATGGGTAATTACCCGGACATTGGCAACACTGATAAGTATATATGTATAGCACTTACTATGCACACTACAGCCAGCCAGTTAGGACTCTCTTAAGTTGGCGGGGGGTAATCGATTTTTTATTAATTTTTTTGGCTAATTCAATTGTTCTTAAACTGTTCTGTAATGTTTGATCAAAAATTTTTTATCTTGGATAAAATTTTATCTTGGATTGAAAAACTGGCCCTTACAATTAAAAGTTGGAAATCATTTAATCGATGAGTAAGGAATATAATTTAATTAACAGGATTACATAAATAAAATTATATATTTCTTTATAAAATGTGTAGAAAATTTGCCAAAATGCGCTCGCAAATTATGCTACTGGTTTATCTGAGACATGTTTACAAACAAATAAATTTCAAGGTTAGGGAACTGTTACGGTGTTGTCAAGTGTTTACCGGTAATTCAGAGTGCTATATTTTTTTTAGTCAATTAAATAATTATTAAATGCGTAAATTTTTCGGAAATTTCCTCAAAAATGTTATTAATTAATTTGAAAATTAATTTTAAGATGCATAACAAAAGTATTTCTACGCATTATTTTTTTTTAGACATATTCTTTACACTAGCAGGGTACTTGGATTTCCTTAAATTACATTTTATGTTAAAGTATTGAATAAATATTTTTTATGTATAATTCAAACTCATATTTTCCCGCTTGCCCTCATAACTTGAACTTGCGCCTTACCGGAACATAATGAGTGATTCACAAAATCAATTGACTAATAGAAACAATTTATCCACGGAAACCTTAAAATCTGTATCAGTAACTAAAAATTATTCACCTAAGGATAGCGAAATTATTAATTTTGAGCCAACAAACGAAATGATTGACACAAATGTTTAGGAAAAATAACGATAAATAATAAAAAATCTGAATTAATATTGTTATGATAACGACTATCATTACTAAGTACATCGTCTAATGTTTATTTTTTAATTTATATGGTTTATATATTTAACAAATACTTAACAATATTATGTTTTGAAAGTTTAAAAAAACGAAATAATTCAATAAATTTTATTAATAATTATTATTGTGTACTTTTTATTTTGAATGCTCTAAGATTTAATATTTAATTTTAAATTTACCGCGCTTTTAGTAGATGGCAACACTAACCTTCAGTGCCGGGTAAAAACGGGTAATTGGACTTAGTGGAGTGGGTAATTCTAACTTAAGCCATCGGCAACACTGGTCGCTGCTTACATTTGGAACGTCGCCGAAGAATTATGAGAGAGAAATAAAATTTATTTAATGTCGTTTATAATTATAATTCTTTAAAAATTGTATCTTTTGGAAAACGCGTATATTGATGGATTGAAGAAGGCCCGAGAAAAATAATTGAAAAAATAAAACTACTAATTAACATGTACCCTTTTTGCAAGCATTGTTAACGTGATAGAAAGAACAGTTGCATTGATGATTGATGAATCCACCTGAGCCGCGGAGTTATTGGTAAGTAATTTTTCAATTTGATCAGTTAAAGAAAAAATGATAAATTATGGATATTTTCCATTGGATAATTGATAATTAGAATTGATGGATCAATAATAATTCAATTAGTCGACATCTGAAAATTTTTAGAATTTTTTTATTGAAAAAAATTAAAAAAAAAAATTGACAAAAAATTTGTAAAATTCTAAGTGTAATTTTTAATAAATACTTTTTTCTTTAAAATTTCTGTTGATTAAAAAGATCAAAAAATTATTAAAAATGTCTGCTATAATTTTAACATCATGATGGATCAAAATCCAAAAGCAGTCTTTAAGGTTTAGTATTCTCATTTTATCACAATTTGGTTTTTATTAATTTTTGTCAACATTCCTGCTAAATCTAAGTATTAGTAAATTTTATTTTAATATAATATTGATCATTATTAGAAAAATATAAGAAATAAATGTAAATTATTTATAAATGATATAGAAATTAAGTATGTAAAAAAAAAACTAAATATTCAGGAGTAATGATTGACAATAATCTAAATTTTAAAAGCAATGCACATCATACTAGTCAAAAAATTGCCAAAAAAATTAATGTAATCAATAGATTTTAAGATACTCAGTAGGTAATTATGCTAAATGTTTAATTTACAATACAATAGTTTTTCCACATTAAGAATACTGTAATACGTTAATGATTAATTATACAGACGACAAACTCGCTATTTTACAAAAGTTACAAAATCAAGCGATACAATATTATGTGTTAACAAATATACAAATCTAACACTGATGCTAGAAACCCTAAGCTGGATGTCAGTAAGACAAAGAGTAATTTATAATACCTGTTTACTTAATTATTTCATTAATTATTTCATCATGAATTTTTTAGGTCTGAATTAATAATGAATAAATATGAATTTTGCTAGAGTTTTGTTAAGCATAATAATATTAATTAATTTTTCAATTGTTAATCGGATTTAACTGGGATTCATCGGCTTTGTTCCGGGTTATATTGCGTTTGTTCTTTTTATTAAAAATAAAATTCTTCCGGACATACATTTTCGTTCAATTATAGAACGGTTTTCAATAGATTATTCACACTTGTAGATTTAAATTTTTGTTCTTCTTGAAAATGAGAAGTGGAATAAGAAAAATACCGCCCTTAATTCAACAATAAATTCATCGTTAAACTGACAATAAGAAAAATTCAACGGTTTAATTTTAACAGAATTTATTTCGATATACGCAGATCTATTTAAATTAAAAAAAAAACTAGTTTCTACCGTTTCTTAGATTTACTTGGATCAAATTAAATCTACGTAGATTTACTTTAATCTAACTTAATCCAACTAGATCTTTAAAAAGGATTGAGATTTATTTAAATTCAAAAAATTTTTTTCTTGTGATATTATCTATGGGTATTCAAGATTGGACCTAGGATCGAATTAGGTCTAGCATAATTCAATGCTGGATCA